AAATTTTACAGGGATTGTTTAATGGCTTTGGATCCATCCCAACTACTACATCAGCTGTCACCTCTTTTGGAGCCCCCAAGCAGAATCATCAACAACAACCCCAGCAACAGCAACCCCAGCAACAACAACCCCAGCAACAGCAACAGCAACGACAGCAGAATCAACAGCCATCAAATCAGCAGCTTCAAACCCAGCAGCAAACCCAAAGTTCAGGGGGCTTTTCTTTTGGGAGCTCTTTGTCGAGTCCACCATCTGCAGCAGTACCTTTTGGCTCAGTAACAGCAACAGCTTCAGTCTTTGGAGAAGGGGCGTCTCAACCACCAGCTTTTGGCGGCTCAACTACTACTGGCTTCTCTCTGCAAGCTGCTGTACCATCATTCAAGCCTTCTCCATTTACTTCTTCAAATTCATCCAGTGGGCTGCCATTTGGATCTCTCCAGCAAACAAATGTTTCTACCAATCTTTTCGGAGGTCAGACTGCATCAAACAACCCTCCAGCATTTGGTCTCATGTCCTCATTTAGTAGCAACTCAGTACCTCCTGCCACTTCAACTTTTGGAACTGCTGCTCCCCCTTCCTTTGGTGCCTCAGTATCAGCAGAGTCTACATTCGGTGCCAGTTCCACTGCAGCGCCAACCCCCGCAATCTCAAGTGCATTCACGTTTGGTGCTTCAACAAATGATAAGCCACCAGCCCCATCCTTCAATTTTGGGGCCGGTAGTACATCTACAACTCCAGCATTCAGTTTTGGCAATAATGACCAACAGCAGCAAAACACTATGTTTCAATTTGGGCAACCTCCCAGTTCCAGTGCTGCCCCAGCTTTCCAATTCGGATCCACCTCAGCACAACCAGGAGGTAAGTTGAAATCATAAAACTTTTAAATTACATTCTTAAGGTTTCTTAAGATTATTTTGTTTATTGTCAACTCCACACAATTTCAAAATATTTTCAAAAACAAAACAATAGTCATTCTTTCTTCATGACTCCCCTGATGGAACTCCCTGGACAAGGTCTGGAGGCGAGACCATCCAGGTACCGTCCAATTCGTCTCAAATTGGATGGATTTGGGAGACCCTGAATCGGTCCAATGTACATCCAT